GTGCAGGATTGCCTTTATTTTTTTTATGTTTTGTTGGAGAACACACACACACACACACACACATACACTGCAAGATTCATGCTGGCGCTATGCACAACACATCCACCCATAAAATGTCGTCGGGGGCAGCGATTGGAACTTAGTAACTCACCTGGTTGAGCGATGTGCGTGCAATCTGAGAGGAAGCATGTCCGTTTTTCAAACACAGGCAGAAACGAGAAACATCACAAGATTCAAGACAAAAAAAGTGTCAGGCTCAATATCCCGAAAGCGGAGTTTGCAAAGTTCGTATTTTTAGGAGCACAAAAGCAGACAAGGACACACTACCCTCAATATATTGATTCGCTAATGTCTACTCGTCCTCCTCCCTTGACTGTTCTTCCCCGTGAGAATCCGCCTGCGACGGGTCCTCCCCGTTCGCCTCTCCACTATCGTCCGATTGCTGGGACATTTCCTCCTCCTCCTCTATGTTCTGCGGCGCACTGTCTTCGGACGATGATGATGAGGATGAAGAAGACTGCTTTTTCTGGCTAGGACACGGATTTTCTTCGTCGTCCTCGATCACCTCAGGCGTTCTCTTCCTCGCAGGCCTTCTTGCCTCGGTTGCTGCAGCCTTTGCGGCCTCTGCACGTGTCGCTGCTTTTGCAGCCTTCTTCGCGGGCGAAAGCGGAGGCCGCCCTCTCTTCTTTTTCGGTGGTGCATCCTCCTTCGCAACCTTCCTCTTTCGTTTCTGAACCGGCTGTTCTTCGGCAACGTCCGATGCCGTTGCCTTCTTCTTGCGTCGCCCGCGACCCGACACCTCCTCCCTCCCCTGTACCCAATCGCCGGTTTGACGCGCCTTCAACGCACGGTCACGACCCTCCAACGTATACACGAACCCGGGTTCCTGCGCAACTCCCTCACTCAGTGCTTTCCGGGCTTCGTGTTTGCGTGCCATGTTCTCTCCAGCGAACCAAGTGCGGCGATATCGTATTCATCATCCGCAAAGCTCTCCTCCTCGTTGTTCTGCAGCCATGTGCGCTCTAGCGGGACATCGTCGAATTCGTCCACACGAACCTCCGTTGCAGCAACATCGTCGGCTCTCCCTTCCCTAACATGTGCAGCCCATTGGTCGTACCACTCATCGACTTCCATGCTCGCCAGCTCGTCGTCCTTCCACGGAATGTGCACGTTTTCCCCATCCCCTCGCTCTCTCCGCGTCGACAATTGGATATTCCAATTGCTATACACCAGCTTGTTCAATCTCTCCGGCAACATCTTCGTGCGGCGTTGGCCGAAAATGAGCTGGTGCAAGCTCCAGTTTCGCTCGCACGCAGCCAACGAGCTCGCATGCCCAAGGAGTTTGATCGCCTGCAGTTGGAGGAGGTCCAAAGACCCCCCAAACGCCTCCCACCATAGCGCCGGAGTCTTCGAACTCGCATGATCCCTTGCGTTCTGTGACCCCAAAGTGCCCAATCCCTGCATTTACATGTCCAGTTGTCTACTGATTTCTCCCTGCAGCAACTCCGGCGGCGCCCAAGAGTAAAGCCAGATGTTGAACCCCTCGCGAATCTCCGTATCTCGCACGGTGTGCGTCCTGTACTCGGGGTCGAGGAAGGCGGCCGCGCAATGCAGCTCTGATGTCATGACCGCCCACCGGTCGATCAAAATATTCTCCACATCCGCCTTCTCAGTCTCCGACAAGCAGTCCAACGTGCGCATTCTAACCACAACCGTGTCCATGCCGAAATACACTTTGCTCATAGTTGCTCCTGGACCGTCCACCAAACGAAGGAGCTTGACAACTGGCTCCATCACCTCAATGGCCTTATCCACAACCTTCCAGAAGCCATTCGTGTCCATGATGATGTGGGTGACGACGTTGAATGCCACCACCTGCTCCCCCCTCACCAACTTTTCCACCCACGCCGCATTGCAGACACAGAGCTCCAACGGATTCCTCCCCGCCTTCAGCGACTGAAGCATCTCAAAGTTCGTCGTGAATCTTGTGACCGCCGGACGTTTGAGTTGTGCACTCGCGATCCTGTTGTACATTGCGCGGACCTTGTCGATGTTGGTGAAAAACTTGCCAACTTGATTGCCCTTGTCGACGACCTCTTTCAGCCAGTCCATGCACTTGTACATGTCCTCCAGGGCCAGATCCAAGGCATGGGCTGTGCAACCCACAATATAAATACCGGGGTACTTGGCCTCCACTATCTTCCCCGCTTTGGCGCAAACCCTCGCATTGTCCATCACAACACCGACAATGGACCCCGCACCGATCTCCTGGATCACCCCGTCGAACAGACCGACTTCCAAAACACAGTTCCGACTGGGGAAGACACCATGACGTTCAGGTGCGGTTTGTTCCTCCGGTCCGACCACCCTTCCATCTTGAGAATGCACCTTGTTCTCTCCCACCTCTTGACTAGTGACCACGTGTCTTCCCCCACCAACTTATACTGCCCGTCCAACCTTTTTGTCCTCATCTCGTCCCTCTTGCAAGCCCGCCAACTGGGATGGCAATTCTTCACAGCATCGATGAAGTCAAGGAAGGAGAAGTTGTTCACCATGCTGAATGGCTGATTTGTGCAAATCAGCCACCGATCCATCTTCCGACTCTTATGCTCGTTCCGGGTGACGACACTGTCCGCCTCCTCGAGCAAAGTTTGCCTCACCGATCGTCCACCACTTCCAAGGGCAGGAGGGAAGCATGTCTTAGATCCTGCAAGCGATGGCGTCTCACCATCAGTCGGCCTCTGTGTTGATGATGATGGAGGCACGAAACTACTGGAAGACGGTCCTGTGCTCGGACCACCACTTCCACCAATTGCGCCTGCGAGCTGACTGGCCTGGTGCTTCCCCAACCGGATGCCCTCGATTCTCATCACCCTTTCCTCCCCTGTCAATGCCCGAGTCACAAGCTCAATACTGCACTTCGTCATGAAGTGCTTCTTGAGGACTGACTTCGTATCGACGAACCGAGTCTCACAATAGTTGCACAGCCAGTGCCTCGAACCCTTGCCGGGGTCCTTGCCGTGAGGACCTTCATCAGTGAAGTGCCTCGCAAGAGACTGCAAGATCTGCTTTGCCAGTGCCATCGACAACTTCACCTGCGCACACAGAACCCACAAACAGCCCAGGCGTCAGCCCCTCTTCCCCGCCCCACAAACCCTCCTCACCGCCCCTCAAACCCTCCTCCCCGCCCCTCAAACCCTCCTCCCCGCAGAAGAAAGAAAAGAGAGAGAGAGAGAGAGAGAGAGAGAGAGAGAGAGAGAGAGAGAGAGAGAGAGAGAGA